CGGCTGCTGGGGCTGTGCGATGTTGAGCGGGATGGGAGAATGGAGAGGGACCCTAAACTTCCTCGCATCTGCGCGTTCCTGGCGCTCTGGCTGCAGAGGAAGCATCGAGCCAAGCCCTGCAGCCTGCAGCTGCCTGCCCCCAGCCAGCTCTCCAGCCCGGTCAGTACTGCCGCTACCTCGCTCTGCTTCGCTTGGTGCTGCTGGTTGCTCGTCCGGGTGGGCTGGTGCTTCAGACGGGTACTCGGAGCGGTGTGGTTTGCTTTTCTTTTCCTGCCTTCTGGGATAGTTTGCTTAACGGTGCCACTGGAAGAAACTGATCTCGGTGCGAGCCAAGCCTGTTCGTGCTGCAGGTCGGTGGCACGCTTTTGTGCTGGAGACTTGTTCTGGTGCGCTGCTGAACAGGCTGTAGGACCTGGTCTCCAGAGTCCGAACTGTTGGGTTGCAAGTTCCTGGATGAGTCCATGGGAGGAGACCTCCCTCCTGTCAGCGAGATGCCAAATGGCCTCTCAAAGCTTTTCTCAGAAAGCTATCAACGATGCTGCTACCAATGCCACTTCTGGTCCAGCTGGCGTGTAAGCATGTTTGCTGATGTGGTCGGGCTGCCAGGCTGCGTATGCAAATCTCTGCTGCCCGGAGATACGGCTCGGGCTGCTGAAACCACTTGCAGTGGGTCACACACTGGGTCTTGCTGTTGGCCAAGGCGAAGGGTTCCCACAGCTGCGAAAACGTGTCGCTGCGCAGCGCCTGAAGAGCTGTGATGGGAGGCTGGGTCCAGCTGCCTCGGAGCTGGGCACAGGAGTTCGTTTCAGATGTTCCTCCCTGCCTAGGTGTGGGATGCTGCAAGGTGAAATGTGCATTCTTGTACAAGTGCTGATGCTCTGTAGACCTGGTTTCTAGTGTTTTAGGGACAGAGCCTACAGCTTCCACTGGACCCATCCCCGGGTCTCTCCCTGCTGTGGGGTCTCTCCGTGGAGAGCTGAACAGCAGGGAAGGGCTCGCCGGAGGAGACCTCTTGGCTGACTCCCACTCAGGCTCTTGGCCAAAAGTGGGAAGCTGTTCCTAGCCGACAGCTGTCTGCCGCGGACTAAGCCTGCAAACGAAACCAGAAGTGTGAGGTGGCTGATTTAAGCTGGGAGATCACAGGGAGCGTGAAAACTTGTTGTTACAGGGATTATAAGATCTTTCTTGTCCGTGATCACCAAGACCAGCAACAGGAGCTCCTGCTCTCTCCCCGTGCTCAGGCTGTACGTGCTGCACCGCTGAGAGCGGGGGCTTCTCTGCTAGTGTCTGAATAACGCAGGGTCTTGAGAGAGCAAAGCTGCCAACGTGCAAACAAAGCCATTTCCTAATCTAGAGAAAAACCAAGCATGAGTGCGGGAAGGGAAGGGTGCTCGGTGCAGGTAGGCAACCACATCCGCGGGCGCTTGGCAAGGCCACCCTCCCCGAGAAGGTGCTGCGAGGGTGGGGAGTGGGCTGGGGTGCCGGGGGGGAGGCAGAGCCTGACGCTTGGTTCCGGTTGTTTTTAACAGCTGCTTTGATTAGCTGGGTTCCAGACCAAGTATCTGAACGGTTTTAGAAAACAAAGCATAGCTTTTTTTTTTTCCCCCCAACTCTGCAAGGGGAAAAGCTAAATAGTAGTCCCAGCTTTCTGGCAGCTTCTGATGGCCACATCTGCCCTAGGCTCAGAGAGCAGCCAGGTTTAATGCCCTTTGGAACATAATTGCTGGCCTTCAGGTCCAAATAGCAACCAGCCCACGCCTAACTCTGGATAACGCGGGACTGAAGTGCTGAGAAGCCTGGACTTGCCCTTACAAGACGTACAGCTACAAGGGACTTCTGGCCTGAGTAGGATTCACGTCTGTAGAAGAGGGAGGTTGAGCCCAACCTGCCCTGTGGGCTCTGCCTGTGGTCAGCTGGGCGAGGGGCTGGACCAGGTCAAGCTCAGAGGAAACCTAAGTCCGGGTGTCCTGGCTGGGTACGGTCAAGAGAAGTGGAGGGAAAGGCACAGCTGGAAGACTGGTGGTACAAAAAGTCTCTTTGTATTTGGGATGCAGATAGAAAGCGACACAAAGTGTTTCTGTTGAGCTGAACTCTGGGCTGTATGCACCAGAGGCGTGGAGAAGGTTTGCTGGGGAAAGGTGTTTCAGCATCACCTCCGGGTCCGTAGCCATTCGTGTGTGCTGGTCTAGCTCTGTCAGTGAGTTTATTCTAGATACTGCCGATGAAATCTCTTTTTCATCTTTATTTTTTTTAAATAAAAGAATGTGTTTTAAACAAAACATGTGCCAGAGACCTTGGCTTCCCCTCAATCTTCTTGAAGGCTTGAGTCTGTTAAAGCATCATCTGTATGTGCTGAAGATGCACTAAGACTTCTGTTGCGGAGTTGCTCAGATTGCCGAGCAGATGGGCTCCAACATGTCTGGTTTTTGCCAGCCCTGGCCGTGTTTTGACAACAGTGCGGTATTTTTGTGTTGTGGGGTTTTTAGTGGCATAAACACTCCTGTTTTTGCCACCAGTGCCTTAAAAAGGAAGGTGCTTTTCGAGCACTCTTCTGAAATGCAGTTCAAAAGAAGGCAGTGCCTGCGGCGCGAGGAGCAGAGCGCTTGGGGAGAGCGCGGGATGTTCAACAAGGCTGCCCGGGGCGAGCCCACCGATGACGTGTTTAATTCCAGATGTTGAAGCCAGGAGATCCCTGTGACAAGCACCGATTTTATGGCTCTCTCAGATGTGGTTCCTGTGAGTCTGTAGCTACGATCCTTCTTCCGGAATCCCATAAGGCTTGCCTTCCCTTGCTCAGCAATATATGCCCGGTCAACCGTGTCCCCTCTTTTTCAGGGTGAAGGTGTTGTGAAAGAAATCAACATCACACACCACGTGAAGGAAGGCTCCGAGAAAGCCGATCCTTCGCAGTTTGAGCTCCTGAAGGTGCTGGGACAGGGCTGTTTCCCCAACGAAACCACTTCCCTGATGTCACCGGATTGTGAGAATCTGACAGATGAGCCCTCTTAGCAAGTGATTGCTTGTAACCTGAAAGGCAACAGTAGCGATGCCTTCTCACCAGGGCCAGCCTTTCCGTCCAAAGCTTCCCTGTCATTCTTTTTTCAGGCGATTGGGAGGGAAGGGGTAGCGTCGTGCCGGTGACCACGGGTGGCACACGGGGCAGAAGGCCCTCCTGCAGCTCTCTAGCTGGCTGCCAAGCTGTCCGTTGAATCGAGGACTCGGGCGTGTTCCTCTCTTCTCAGAAACGATGCTGTGTGCCAGGGACTGGTTTTGGCCCCTGTTCATGGTCCGGTTTCCCTTCTGTAGAGGGGGAAGGAAGTAGCCTGTAACTCTTATCTGTTTCCGTGTGTAAATAATCTAGGTCTCTTGCAGACCATCTGCTCACACGTTAAATCAACTTCATGTCAATCCGTTACCAGCACGAACAGTGGGGGCTTGCACAGGACTGCGTGCTGGTGCCTGGGCAGATGCAGCAGTGGCTTTACGCAAAAGGAAGGTGCTGTCTTTTTGAAGCTAAAACCAGGTAGAATGGGATGTCAGGAAAGGGAAGGAGGTAAAAATACAAGGAGGATGCAGGACCTGAATAATAAGGAGTTGATCTGGCTGTCAAACCAGTAAGTCACCAGGAGGCTTTGAGGTACATGGAAGCGTCAGTGCTTCGAGTCGCAGCTCCCAGGCATCAGCCACAGCCCCACGGTAACTGCAGGAGGGAGCAAGATGTGTGGAAGACGGGAGAGGAGGAAAGCGCGGTGTAAAAGCAGGAGTGCGGTAATGGCTGGAGATAGCAGGGCAGAGGAGTCTACACACAGCACCTGCCTGAAAACCTCATGGGATTTCACATGGAGAGCTTGGGGTGCATCTTACCAGTCCTGTGGGCAGCTGCTTCTTAGGGTTACCACGAGGTTTGCCACGTTGGGAGGCACCCAACGCCTACTGCTCATGTTCAGTGCTCAGCTAATGTGGTGTTCTTCTACCTCAGGTTTTCTTGGTGAGAAAAATAACACCGCCAGACAGCAACCACCTCTATGCCATGAAAGTGCTCAAGAAGGCAACATTGAAAGGTAGGAGACTCTTACTGCGATGCTCCTGTCCTGCGTGTCCTGAAGAGCACGGGGGAAGTGTCACAGCAGTCACTGCTGGCCCCAGGGTGGTCTGGGTGAAAGAGAAGTATCTTTACCTCAGCCAAGCAGCCTGCTTTTCTCTCCATCTATAAAAAAAACCCTTGTTGCGGTGCTGGAGGTAGAAAAGATCAGGCTCAAGCTGCCTGGTACCAAAGGGCTTCGGGCTGGGGGCAAGGCTGACACCGGGGTACTGTGTGCCTTTGTGTCTGAGCTGTTCCTCTCTCTTCCCGCAGTGCGTGATCGAGTAAGGACGAAGATAGAAAGGGACATCCTGGCTGATGTAAACCATCCCTTTGTGGTGAAACTCCACTACGGTGAGTGTGGAGCTAGTTGGGACACTGGGAGAGGGGCTGCAGGCTGGAACAGCCACTGACTGCTTTTACGCACGATGAAAAAAGATGCAGCTGCAGGCACAGCTGCCGCGAGCAGGTAGATGAGCATGAGGCGTCCAGCAGCAGGCTGCTTGGAGGATGCTGAGAGCCTCTCCTGGTCCTTAGCAGGCTTCTGGAGATACCTGAAATGGAGGAGAGGCCTGGGTCAGTCTGTGTCCCTCAATGGCTGTGCTGCCCTGGAGCCTTCACAATCCCTTTAACACAGATCTGTTCCTGGACAGGTCTTTGGTCCTGTGCCTGCTCCAGCTATTGAATGGGGAAGAGAGCATAGACTGGGAGAAGAAGTTAAAACATCAAATCCTTGGGTTTAAAACATTAGATCAGGTGAAACTGAGAAGGCAGAGTTAACTAATCAAGGCAGAGTTTGACAGGGTTAACGCTTCGCCTCTGAGGAAGGCGAGGACAGCTTCTTTCCCTGTAAAGTGATCACTGCCTCTCTCGGAAAAACAGCCCTTTCAGTAGGGCATCGCTGGCTGAAAGGGAGCCAACCCCCCATAAAATGAGGATTTTCTGCAGTGCCAGAGTGCTGCTGGCGAGCTCCCATTTCAACATCGCGGGCAGGCTATCTCATTTACCCCAAATAATTGGCCCTACCTGTGTTTAACCTAGTAACCATGCAGGGCATCTGCACGACTGGAGCCATTGGGATTTAAGTGCTTAATGTAACAGCGTGGAGCCTTCCCTCCGCGGAGGGCTCTGATTCCCGCTCCGGCTTGTGTTTCAGCATTCCAGACGGAGGGGAAGCTGTATCTCATCTTGGATTTCCTCCGCGGAGGTGACCTTTTCACTCGGCTTTCCAAAGAGGTGGGTATGCTCTGGCATCTTTGGTGGGTTGCTGAGGCTCTCAGTTCATCTGGGCTTAATTGCCTGGAGAAGCGATTGACCTTCGCAAAGTCTTCGAGAGGGGTGGAAACAACCTCCAGCCTGCTGTGAGCTCAGACTCCACAGGAGAGGATGGCTCCGGAGCCCTGTTCTCTGGCGGAAGGGCAGCAGCACAGGAGGCAGGTCTCACCTCTCCTGAGCAGCACGCCAACAACCGAGACAGGCAAGAACCATGTTCTGCTGCGGCGTTGGCTGGTTGTGCTGCCTCGCTGGGACGGAGCGAGGGCAGGGGACGGGAGGGGTGACGAGGAGTTGTGCCAGGTGAAGACAACTGGGAACATAACCTGGTGAACGTAAACGAAGAGTTTGTTAAAAAGCCATCTGCTGCTTAGCAACCTGGTTTGGGGTTTTTTTTGGTGTTTCTGCTTAATTGATACTTTAGGATGGCAGGCAAAGCCTGGAAAAATGAGGTGTGAAAGGGCAGGAGGGAGCAACGTGGATGGGAAAGGTCTTGCGTGGGTGCAGCAGAGGTGGTACCGCTGCCAGCGTTGTAACCTCAGCTCCCATCGGCTTCCTCTGCCTTCCCGCAGGTCATGTTCACCGAGGAGGACGTGAAGTTCTACCTAGCAGAGCTGGCCCTGGGCCTTGACCATTTGCACAGCCTGGGAATCATCTACAGGGATCTCAAACCAGAGAAGTACGTGCGGCGCAGCGGAGGCAGGGAACCGAGTCCTTCGCTTCGGTCCCAAGCCTGTGGTCAGCCTTCTCCCGCAGAGCCCGAGCTGCAGGGTGCCCCGAGGCCAGGCAGGCGGAGGGCGGCAGTGCTGAGCGAGGCTCCCGCTCCTCAGACCCACAGTTGCGGGTGTGTGCCCCACACCTCTGAGCAGCTCTTCTCGGCAGGCCCCCGGCTCCCTCTTTGTGCAGTGGAGAGCCTTCGGAGG